GTCCCCACCCCCCTGGCAGTGTCCCCACCCTCCGGCAGTGTCCCCAGCCCTCAGGCTGTCCCTGCAGTGTCCCCAGGTGTCCCCAGCCCCTCAGACTGTCCCCAGGTGTCCCCACGGTGTCCCCAGCCCTCAGGCTGTCCCTGCAGTGTCCCCACGGTGTCCTCAGCCCTCAGGCTGTCCCTGCAGTGTCCCCACCCCCCAGCAGTGTCCCCCTCCCCTCAGGCTGTCCCCCGGTGTCCCCACAGTGTCCCCAGCCCCCAGGCTGTCCCTGCAGTGTCCCCAGCCCCCAGGTGTCCCCAGGTGTCCCCAGTGTCACCTTGATGGCGGTGATGGCGAAGGCGATCTTGCGGCGCCCGTCGATGTTGGTGTTGAGCACCCGCAGAATGTGCTGGAACTTCTCGGGGATCACCAGGGACTGAGGAGACAGAGAGGACATTGGGGACACTGAGGGGACACTGGGGACAGCAAAGACATTGGGGACAGTGAGGGGACACTTGGGACATTGGGAACATGTGCTGGAACTTCTCGGGGATCACCAGGGACTGAGGGGACAGCAGGGACATTGGGGACACTGAGGGGACACTGGGGACATTGGGGACAGCAGGGACTGCGGGGACAGGTGGGCATCAGTGGGGACACTGGGGACAGCACGAGGACACCGGGGATCACCGGGGACTGAGGGGACACAGGGGGACATTGGGGACATCAGGAACATTGAGCACTGAGGAGATTGAGGGGACACTGAGGACACTGGGGACCACCAGCGACCGAGGGACATTGGGGACATCTGGGGACATGGGCGCGGGGACAGCGCCGGGACGGTTTTTGGCGGGGTTGAGAAAAATCCCAGACGGATTTGGGGCGATTTTAGGGGGTTGGGGAACACCTGGATGGGCTAGGGGGATATCGAGGACATCTGGGGTATTGGGGACATTGGGGACATCAGGAACATTGAGCACTGAGGAGATTGAGGGGACACTGAGGACACTGGGGACCTCGGGGACCACCAGCGACCGAGGGACATTGGGGACACCTGGGGACACGGGCGCGGGGACAGCGCCGGGACGGTTTTTGGCGGGGTTGAGAAAAATCCCAGACGGATTTGGGGCGATTTTAGGGGGTTGGGGAACACCTGGATGGGCTTGGGGACACTTTGGGGACATTTCGGGGCCGCTCCGGGCCGAGCCCGCCGTGAGGGGAGCGAAGGCCGCCATGACACCTGGGGGGGGTGAGAAAAATCCCAGACGGATTTGGGGCGATTTTAGGGGGTTGGGGAACACCTGGATGGGCTTGGGGACACTTTGGGGACATTTCGGGGCCGCTCCGGGCCGAGCCCGCCGTGAGGGGAGCGAAGGCCGCCATGACACCTGGGGGGGGGGGTGGGACATGCGCCCCCGGACAGCAGGGACATTGGGGACACTGAGGGGACACTGGGAACATGTGCTGGAACTTCTCGGGGATCACCAGCGACTGAGGGGACAGTGAGGGGACATTGGGGACATCAGGGACATTGGGGATTTCTCTGGGGTCACCAGGGACTGAGGGGACAGCAGGGACATTGGGGACACTGAGGGGACACTGGGAACATGTGCTGGAACTTCTCGGGGATCACCAGCGACTGAGGGGACAGTGAGGGGACATTGGGGACATCAGGGACATTGGGGATTTCTCTGGGGTCACCAGGGACTGAGGGGACAGCAGGGACATTGGGGACACTGAGGGGACACTGGGAACATGTGCTGGAACTTCTCGGGGATCACCAGCGACTGAGGGGACAGTGAGGGGACATTGGGGACATCAGGGACATTGGGGATTTCTCTGGGGTCACCAGGGACTGAGGGGACAGCAGGGACATTGGGGACACTGAGGGGACACTGGGAACATGTGCTGGAACTTCTCGGGGATCACCAGCGACTGAGGGGACAGTGAGGGGACATTGGGGACATCAGGGACATTGGGGATTTCTCTGGGGTCACCAGGGACTGAGGGGACAGCAGGGACATTGGGGACACTGAGGGGACACTGGGAACATGTGCTGGAACTTCTCGGGGATCACCAGCGACTGAGGGGACAGTGAGGGGACATTGGGGACATCAGGGACATTGGGGATTTCTCTGGGGTCACCAGGGACTGAGGGGACAGCAGGGACATTGGGGACATTGAGGGGACACTGGGGACATTGAGGACATTGGGAACATGTGCTGGAACTTCTCGAGGATCACCAGGGACTGAGGGGACAGTGAGGGGACATTGGGGACACTGACGGGACATTGGGGACATCATCGGGGACATTGGGGACAGCAGAGACTGAGGGGACAGGTGGGCATCAGTGGGGACACTGGGGACAGCACGAGGACACCGGGGATCACCAGGGACTGAGGGGACACAGGGGGATATCGAGGACATCTGGGGTATTGGGGACATTGGGGACATCAGGAACATTGAGCACTGAGGAGATTGAGGGGACACTGAGGACACTGGGGACCTCGGGGACCACCAGCGACCGAGGGACATTGGGGACACCTGGGGACACGGGCGCGGGGACAGCGCCGGGACGGTTTTTGGCGGGGTTGAGAAAAATCCCAGACGGATTTGGGGCGATTTTAGGGGGTTGGGGAACACCTGGATGGGCTTGGGGACACTTTGGGGACATTTCGGGGCCGCTCCGGGCCGAGCCCGCCGTGAGGGGAGCGAAGGCCGCCATGACACCTGGGGGGGGGGGTGGGACATGCGCCCCCTCGGACATCCGCCCCCCTCCCGCCGCCATCGCCGCTCGCCGCCGCCCCCTTCCCGCCCCGCCGCCTCCCTCGGTGCCGCCGCCATCGCCCCGCGCCCTTCCCGCCGCCCGCCGCCCTCCCCGCGCGCCGATGGCGGCGGATCCCGCCCGGGAGCTCACCATGGCTGCGGCTCCGCGGGGCTCTGCCGGGGGAAGAAGAAGGCGGAAGTGACGTCACACGCCGTGCGTCAGCAAGATGGCGGCGCAGGCGGAGGTAGCGCCGGCAGCGGGAGAGGTTTGGGGGATCCCGGGGCGGTTTTGGGGTTTTTTTGGGGTTTTTTGGGGTTTTCTGTGGGGATTCGGGAGGTTTTTGGGATCGCGGACGGGGTGCGGCCGTTACTGAGGCCGTTGTGCCGCAGGTGGCGGCGATGGAGGCGCCGCTGGAGGCGGAGCTGGAGGCGGAGCTGGACCTGGAGGGGGCGGAGCTGGAGGAGGTGGATGGTAAGAGGGGCGGGGCCATTAAATGGGCGGGTTAATTAACGCTTAATGAGGGGGCGGGGCCGGACAGGTGACAGGAAAGGGAGGTGCGGCCTGCAGGTGAAGTGGGCGTGGCCACAGCCCTGAGGCGTGGCCCGGGAAGCCGCAAAGGGGCGTGGCTTTTACCTTATTTGGGGTGTAGCCGGCTGGGGGCGTGTCCACTTAACTCATTTTGGGATGTGTGGCCTACTGGGGGCGTGGCCATGCCCTTATTTGGGTGCAGGTAGTCTTCTGGAGGCGTGACCATGGGCCTTATTTGCATGTAACCTGCTGTGGGCGTGGCCATGCCCTTATTTGGGAGCGTCTCTCACACTGAGGGCTCATTGCCGGCAATGGAGGGGGCGTGACCTGCGGGAGGGGGCGTGGCCTGGCCGGACTGAACCATTTGGGCAGCACTGGGGGGGGGGATATTCCCCAATTCCACCCCTTTTTTTTCCTGATTTTTCCCATTTTTCCCCCAAATTTTCCCAATTTTCCAATTTTTTCCCAAATTTTCCAAATTTTTTTCCCAATTTTTTCATTTTTTTCCCCAATTTTCCCCAGTGCACATCCAGGAGAACCTGGAGGACGCCCTGGTGCAGGAGGCGCTGCAGACCGTGAGTGGCTCCTCCCCAAAATCACCCAAAAATCCCCAAAATCACCCAAAAAGTGTCCCAAAAACGGCCCCAAAAATCCCAAAATAGCCCCAAACAGTCCTAAAATGTCCCCAGGTGTCACTAAAATGTCCCCAAAGTGTCCCAAGTGTCCCCAAAGGGTCAAAAAGTGTCCCCAAAACGGCACCAAAAATCCCAAAATGGCCCCAAAAATCCCAAAATGGCCCCAAACGGTCCCAAAATGGCCCCAAATGTCACTAAATGTCCCCAAGGTGTCCCCAAATGTCACTAAATGTCCCCAAGGTGTCCACAAATGTCACTAAACCAAAGTGTCCCCAAAGTGTCCCCGATGTCCCCAAATGGTCCCAAAATGTCCCCAGAATGTTCCCAAAACTCCCCAAAGGGTCAAAAAATGTCCCCAAAAGAGCCCCAAAAATCCCAAAACGGCCCCAAAAATCCCAAAATGTCCCCAAAGTCGTCCTCACAACGGTCCCAAAATGGCCCCGAATGTCACTGAAATGACCCAAAAATGTCCCCAAAGTGTCCCTGATGTCCCCAAGGTGTCCCCAAGGTGTCCCGGATGTCCCCAAATGTCACTGAAATGACCCAAAAATGTCCCCAAAGTGTCCCTGATGTCCCCAAGGTGTTGTCACTAAATGTCCCAAAAATGGCCCCAAATGTCGCTGAAATGACCCAAAAATGTCCCCAAAGTGTCCCCGATGTCCCCAAATGTCACAAAATGTCCCCAAAATGTCCCCAAAACTCCCCAAAATGGCCTCAAATGTCATGGAAATGACCCAAAACTGTCCCCAAGGTGTCCCCAAGTGTCCCCAAGTGTCCCCAAAGTGTCCCCCAGTGACCCCAAGGTGTCCCCGATGTCCCCAGAATGTTCCCAAAACTCCCCAAAATGTCCCCAAATGTCACTGAAATGGCCCAAAACTGTCCCCAAAGTGTCCCAAAAGTGTCCCTGATGTCCCCAAATGTCCCCAATGTCCCCAAAGTGTCCCCAAGTGTCCCCAAGCTGTTCCCAGAATGTCCCCAAAACTCCCCAAAATGGCCCCAAATGTCACTGAAATGACCCATAACTGTCCTCAATGTCCCCAAATGTCCCCAAGTGTCCCCAAGGTGTCCCTGATGTCCCCAAGGTGTCCCTGATGCCCCCGAAGTGTCCCCAAGGTGTCCCCAAGCTGTCCCCAGAATGTCCCCAAAACTCTCCAAAGTGTCCCCAAATGTCACTGAAATGACCCATAACTGTCCCCAAGGTGTCCCCAATGTCCCCAAGGTGTCCCAAGGTATCCCCAAGGTATCGCCAAGGTGTCCCCAAGTGTCCCCAAGTGTCCCCAATGTCCCCAAATGTCCCCAATGCCCCGGTGCCGTTGCAGGGCGTGGACCTGCGGCAGTACTCGCGCCAGGTGGAGCTGGAGCTGCAGGAGGTGGAGCGAGCCTCCATCCAGGACTGTATCCAAAAATGTCCCCAAAAATGTCCCCAGGGTGTCCCCAAGTGTCCCCAGGGTGTCCCCAGGGGTGGAATCCCAGAAATTCAGAGACAAAATCCCCAAATTTGGTGGAAAAATGGAAAAATTTGGCAAAAGATTCTCTGTGTCCCTGATGCCCCCGAAGTGTCCCCAAGGTGTCCCCAAGGTGTCCCCAATGTCCCCAAGGTGTCCCAAGGTATCCCCAAGGTATCGCCAAGGTGTCCCCAAGTGTCCCCAAGTGTCCCCAATGTCCCCAAATGTCCCCAAGTGTCCCCAAGGTGTCCCTGATGTCCCCAAGGTGTCCCCAAATGTCACTGAAATGACCCATAACTGTCCCCAATGTCCCCAAACTGTCCCCAAGTGTCTCCAAGTGTCCCCAAAGTGTCCCCAATGTCCCCAAATGTCCCCAATGCCCCGGTGCCGTTGCAGGGCGTGGACCTGCGGCAGTACTCGCGCCAGGTGGAGCTGGAGCTGCAGGAGGTGGAGCGAGCCTCCATCCAGGACTGTATCCAAAAATGTCCCCAAAAATGTCCCCAGGGTGTCCCCAAGTGTCCCCAGGGTGTCCCCAGGGGTGGAATCCCCGAAATTCAGCGCCAAAATCGCAAAATTTGGTGGAAAAATGGCAAAATTTGGCACCAGATTCTCTGTGATTGTTCTGAAAACCCCAAAAATGTCCTCAAAAAAGTGTCCCCAAGGTGTCCCCAAAGTGTCCCCAGGGTGTCCTCAAGTGTCCCTGATGTCCCCAAAGAGTCCCCAAGGTGTCCCCAAAGTGTCCCCAGGGGTGGAATCCCCGAAATTCAGCGCCAAAATCGCAAAATTTGGCATCAAAATGGCAAAACTTGGCACCAAATTTTCTGTGATTGTCCTCAAAACCCCAAAAATGTCCCAAAAAAAGGCCCCTAAAGTGTCCCCAAAGCGTCCCCAAGGTGTCCCCAAAGTGTCCCCAAGGTGTCCCCAAGGGTGGAATCTTCGAAATTCACCAAATTTGGCACCAAAATTGCAAAATTTGGCATAAAAATGGCAAAATTTGGCGCCAGATTCTCTGCAATTGTCCTCAAAACCCCAAAAATGTCCCAAAAAAAGGCCCCTAAAGTGTCCCCAAAGCGTCCCCAAGGTGTCCCCAAAGTGTCCCCAAGGTGTCCCCAAGGGTGGAATCTTCGAAATTCACCAAATTTGGCACCAAAATTGCAAAATTTGGCATAAAAATGGCAAAATTTGGCGCCAGATTCTCTGCAATTGTCCTCAAAACCCCAATCAAAATGGCAAAATTTGGCACCAAAGTCTTTGCGATTGTCCTCAAAAGCCCAAAAATGTCCCAAAAAAATGTCCCTAAAGTGTCCCCAAGGTGTCCCCAAAGTGTCCCCAAGGTGCCCCCAGCTGTCCCAAGGTGTCCCCAAGAGGTCCCCAGGGTGTCCCCAAGGTGTCCCCAAGGTATCCCTGATGTCCCCAAAGTGTCCCCCAGGTGTCCCCAAGGTGTCCCCAGCTGTCCCCAAAGTGTCCCCCAGGTGTCCCCAAAGTGTCCCCAAGGTGTCCCTGATGTCCCCAGCTGTCCCCCAGGTGTCCCCAAAGTGTCCCCAGGTGTCCCAGGGTATCCCTGGTGTCCCCAAGGTGTCCCCAAACTGTCCCAAGTGTCCCCAGGCGTCCCCAAGGTGTCCCCAAGGTATCCCTGATGTTCCCAGGTGTCCCCAGCTGTCCCAAAGTGTCCCCAGGTATCCCTGATGTCCCCAAGGTGTCCCCAAGGTGTCCCCAGCTGTCCCCAAACTGTCCCAAAGTGTCCCCAGGTGTCCCCAAGGTGTCCCCAAGGCGTCCCCAGCTGTCCCCAAACTGTCCCAAAGTGTCCCCAGGTGTCCCCAAGGTGTCCCCAAGGCGTCCCCAGCTGTCCCCAAACTGTCCCAAAGTGTCCCCAGGTGTCCCCAAGGTGTCCCCAAACTGTCCCAAGGGTCCCCAGGCGTCCCCAAGGTGTCCCCAAGGTATCCCTGATGTTCCCAGGTGTCCCCAGCTGTCCCAAAGTGTCCCCAGGTATCCCTGATGTCCCCAAGGTGTCCCCAAGGTGTCCCCAGAGCGTCCCCAAAGTGTCCCCAAGGTGTCCCTGAGTGTCCCCAAACTGTCCCAAGTGTCTCCAAGGTGTCCTCAGGTGTCCCCAGGTGTCCCCAAGGTGTCCCCAAGGTGTCCCCAGCTGTCCCCAAACTGTCCCAAAGTGTTCCCAGGTATCCCTCATGTCCCCAAGGTGTCCCCAAGGTGTCCCCAAGTGTCCCCAAAGTGTCCCCAAGTGTCCCCAGGTGTCCCCAGGTGTCCCCAGGTGTCCTCAGGATGTCCCCAAAGTGTCCCCAGCTGTCCCCAAACTGTCCCAAAGTGTCCCCAGGTATCCCTGATGTCCCCAGCTGTCCCCAAAGTGTCCCCAAGGTGTCCCCAGGTGTCCCCAAAGTGTCCCCAAGGCGTCCCCAAAGTGTCCCCAAAGTGTCCCCAGGTGTCCCTTGACCCCTCAGACATCCGGGAGAGCGAGAACATCGCCGAGCTGCACAACCAGATCAGCGCCTGCGACGCCATCCTCGAGGTGAGCGCTGTCCCCACGCGTCCCCAAAGTGTCCCCAGGTGTCCCCAGGTGTCCCCAAGTGTCCCCAGGTGTCCCCAGGTGGCACCAAACACCCGAGAACCCCCAAAAAATGCTAAAAAAACCCCCTTAAAATGCCCTAAAACGGCCAAAAAACACCCTAAAACCCCGGGGAAAAAAACCCCAAATTGTCCCCAAATTGTCCCTGAGTGTCCCCAAATTGTCCCTGAGTGTCCCCAAATCCATTAAAAGAGCCACAAAATCCCCTAAAAAAACTTCAAAATCCCCTAAAAATAACAAAAAAAATCCCCTAAAATGGCCAAAAAAAGGCCTAAAACTCTGGGGAAAAAACCCCCAAATGTCCCCAAATTGTCCCCAAATGTCCCCAAATCCATGGAAAGAGCCACAAATCCCCTAAAAAAACCTCAAATCCCCTAAAAATAAGCAAAAAAAATTCCCAAAAAATCCCCAAAAATGGCCAAAAAAAGCCCTAAAATGGCCCAAAAAAAGCCCTAAAACCCCGGGGAAAAAAACCCCAAATTGTCCCCAAATTGTCCCTGAGTGTCCCCAAATTGTCCCTGAGTGTCCCCAAATTGTCCCTGAGTGTCCCCAAATCCATTAAAAGAGCCACAAAATCCCCTAAAAAAACTTCAAAATCCCCTAAAAATAACAAAAAAAATCCCCTAAAATGGCCAAAAAA